TGGATCACTTCCTTCTTTATAATTTGCATCAAAATGAACATCAGTTACTTGCCAAATTTGGTATGATGAAACAATACTAATAAGTAATGTAATAATAATCATCTTACTCTTTTATCTTTTATTTCTTTATTTCTTCTCCTTTTTATCAGTTCGTTTTTTATTTAGAACTTTCTTTTTGATGTAGATTCTTCTTCATTTTTTCTTTTTCTTTCTTTCAATTACCATTTAATTATTTCTTTACTTTAATTCTTGTTTTTCTCAATTTTCGTGCTGACTTATTTCTAAATAATTGAAAAGAAAAATAAAAATGTTCTGAAAAGTAGATATAGAATTTCTTTCCTAACTGTTTATCAGTCGAGTTTCATTGTACAAATTTTGTATTTCCTTCTAATTCACTTTTTTTATTACCTTGATTTTTCATCGTTGGATTTAACCTAAATGACCTATTTTTTTCTTTAAGACCACCAATTTCTTTGGTATTTCTTTTGTATTATGTCAATCATTTATAAAATGAGTTAAGAGGATGAAATTTCAACATTCACTTTCATTCTTCAGCCATACAGTAATTGAATATACTAAATGAATATCTTCTGGATGGTTATTATGTGCTTTGAAGAAAAATAATATTTAAACCATCAAAAATAGTTAATAAAATTAAAAAAAATGCAAGACTGACATAACAATATAATATAAATGTGAAGAATTTAAAAGAAGATATATTAAAGTGGTTTAACAAGTCATTAAAAAAACAAATATCTTGAGAATTTGGCAATATCACTAATTTAAATTATTTGGTTTGAAGTTAAATGGTTAAATATTCTTTTTGAAAATATAGATATGTTGTTTGTTAAATTTAAAGTGTTTATTTATCTTATGAATGGAATGTTATTCTTTTTATGAATAAAAATATCAATTATCTACATGAAATGATAAATTACTATTCAGTTCACAGAATAAAATTAATCGTATTAATACTTATCAGCATTTCAACATTACTGAATCATCATTTTGATGTAATAAAAATCAAAAGTGTCAAATAATAGATATATTTCTATTTTCTTGTTAGGTTTATTAAGAAGTGTTTATTTCTTTTTTCTTCATGTTGTTTCTATTTTTTATTTGTTTGTTGTTTTGTGAATTTATGTTGTTTTCTATTATATTATATGATTTAATATTGTATAACATTAATTATTTCATGTTTTTATTGATTAATATTCTTATGAGTTTAAGAATGTCTCTTTGTATTTTTAATATAAATATTCTTATTAATGTTTCAATGTATAATAATGACAATAATAAAGTGAAAATTCTAAATAATTTTGAAATATAAAACAATTCTACACTCTTAACTTGATATATAATAACAATAATATAATATTTCTGTCATTAAAATAAGCAAAGAAAAAATGCATCTAAATAATTTACAAAAAAGAAAAAAGATGCAAAATAATTTGCATCCATAGAATTTTCCATTTATTATATTTTGCTCCTAAAATAAAAATAAAAATAAATAAAAAGTATGATAAATACAGAATATGTAAATATTTATGTTTATATTTTATTATCAATTGTATTCAGTATGAAATATTAATGAAATAGATTATTTGATGAATCATATTTATTTTTATTATTCTTTTTATTCTTTTATTTATATGTTATTTTTATATTTATTTTTATATTTATTTCTCTGTTTATATTATTTATATCATTGTATTCTTCTTATTATCTATATATTATTATATTATTCTTATTTTATTATTTTATGTTTTTTATGTTTATATTCTTTAGATTTTCTTATTGTTATTCTTTTATATTTAGTTGTATTTTATTATTTGTTTATTCATCTTTATCATTTTTATATTCTTATCATTTTTATATTCTTATCATTTATTCTCTTTTGATTTATATTAATATTAATTTTATCTTTTATACTTTGATTTTATTATTATATCATTGATTATCATTTCTCGTTTTATTTATCATTTATTCTTATTATTCTTTTGTTTTATATTCTATATCATATATTCATATCATTTTCATTTATATTTTATTACATGTTATATGTTATAATAATAACATAACACATATGATTGAATATATAATAAACATCATGTTTAAATTATACATATAAATAATAAACATAAAAAAGAGTAAAATATTTTTCAATAATAAAATAATATTAATTATTTTACATCATTAAATTATACACTTTTATTTCATATTTCTAATTTTTACAATAAAAATACACTTTTTATTTCTTCTTTCTTTTCTTCTTTTATTACATCTTTGTGATTTATTATTTTTATATTCTTTATTATTATCTTATTCTACCTTCTACTTTTATTCTTTCTTCATTCTTCTTCATACTTTCTTTTTATTCTTTTATATATTTCTCTTCTATTATTTATTATTTGCTTTTTTCGTTGAATATTCAAGAAAACAAGTGAAGAAAATAGAAAGAAGAAAGTAGAAGATATATGATAAAACTGGAAGTGAATATAAGTGAAGAAGAAAAGAAAGATGAGACATAAATATGAAAGATGAAAGAAAGAAGAATAAACAATGATGAAAAGCTGCAAACAAACATAATAGAAATGCATATAAACTAGCAACTCAACATAACAGAAATAATAAAAGAGATACAACTTGACAACAAGAAATAGAGAGTGAATAATAAAGAACAAATCCTCATATGAAATATAATAAATAAAGAAGAACAAGAAAAGAAAATATTAAAAGAAGAGAAGTATAAAGTAACATAGTAAGGAAAAAACATGAGAAAATAACAACAAATAAAAGATAATAAAAAGAACCAATAGTGCATAGAGAAGAAAAGAAGAGACAGAAGTGAAATAACTCGATATGACATATAAAAATCAAATAATGAAGAATAATAGGAAAGATAACAACCAATGAAATAAAAGAAAGAAAAAGAAATCAAAGAACAATAAGAACAGAAAAGAATAAAAACAATCATTAAACCAAAGGAAGAAGAACCAAACAAGGATTAGAATAGAACCAAGAGAAAGCAAAGAATATTAAGAAATAAAAAAAATGAATGGAAATACGTATAACAATAAAGAAGAGAATAAATTCAATAAATAATGGTGATGATAAAAGAATAAATACTAACAAAGATAAAGATAATAAGAAATGAAAGGATAATATAATGATAAATCGACACAAATGAAACACCTTCATAATAATCACTAAACAAACAATATTTTCATTTTCAA